ATCTCCTTATCGCTTCGTATTTATGACTGTGTACAAATTATGCTATAGCATTAGTATTTTTGTCGTTATCACTTTAATCTATTGTTTAGAGAACAATCGCCTGTGATCCAATATTAACTCTAGAGTTAAGCTTTCTTAAAACATGTGAAGGTATAAGTATGACCAGAAGCTGGAAGTCCTTGCAGTGTGTTTTGTGTAACGAGTTCCAGTGTAACAGTACTGTGTTAAATTGAACTGGTGGTTGAGAAAATTGTCGATTCGTTTATTCGAGTGATTTGAATGTTCTTACATCAAGATGTTTCGTGCAGCGTCTTTCATACGAGGTTACGGTCAGGTATTGGATGTTTTTTACAGTTCAGTTATGATTTGTATGGGATAAAAAATGAAGTGAGCTCAATTCCAGTCGAGCGTGCTCTGGCCCAGCGGTGGCGCTCGCCTGGAATCCCGTAACCCCGTTAATCTTTTTACTCTACTTAGAGTGCGGATCTTAACCTCTCGGTACACTATTCTTGTTTACCGCTCGTTATTATGTCCGAGTGCATCGCAGACCGGTTATGATAAGTATTAATAGCAAATATACTATGTTGAGTTCAATTTAATCACAGTATGACGTGTATGCGTATTATACAAGTAGGGATTTCTTGTTCCTTATGTAATGATGGTGGTACGTCATTAGTATAATATTGAGGTAAATAGACAAGTGCAGCGCTCCCAATAAATCATTCGTATTTTTGTTCTTCTTGTCTTCTGTCCGTTGGATGAGTTATATCTTTTGGTATGACTGTTGAACACGATATCGTGTCTTCGATTAATAATTTTGACAAGGTTTCTTTCTGGATTTGCATCCGGTGTTTAAAAAAACTGGCTCTTCACCTCTGCTTGCCCCCACAAGGAAATAGAAGTGTGATGTTCAACATACGGAATTCATTATTAAAATACTTTTTACGCACGTAGAGTTAAAAAAAAACCTTGCGAGGTCAGTATCCTCGAAATATTTTGAACAAAAGAAAATTGTTATTTTTTTTAATGAATGGTACCCGTGTAATGTGTATTATTGTGTTGCGTATTGTCTACGTGTTATTTCAACTCCTTATAAATTGAATTTTAAAATTTAGTTTAGACTAACGATTCTTCAGTTTGAAAACACCTATACCTATTTGAGTTTTTTCTATGTAGGTAAAGTCAACTCAACTACTTACCCTAGGTACTAAAATTTCACCATAAATAATACTATGAACTTTTTCATAAATGTTAAGGAGAGTGAAACATTGTCATCAAAGTTTACGTCATAATTTTAGTACAGATAAGTATCTAACTTAAAAAAATCCATCAATTTATTAACCATCTGCACTGATTTATTATACGCACCGCTTGGCTACCGCCAATAAATAAGTAATCATTAATTACGTTATCATATATCAATTAAATACAACGATCATTCTATGCGATTACCTTTCCTCAAACGCATCGGTCACCGCGTCTACGAAGCTCAAGTTCATGGCTATGAGTAATAAATTCATGTTAAATATGAAGAATGGTGCGTACCTGTAATGGGTGTCTATCGTTAGCGGCGGGGAGCGTGGCTTCGAGTCTCAGATACTGAGACCCGGCACAGTCCGGTCAGACACCGCGCAACATGCTGCCCCCAGAGCGCGCGGCGCATCGGTCAGCCTCCGCGATCTTCAAGCGCATCTCACTGCGCTCCTACAGCACCTATTCGCTTGTATGTATTCTAATGAGCGCGGATTTTTAATGTGACGTTATAAATAGCCTCCGAAGGCTGTTTCTAATTCATTACCCGGGTCTCCTGCTCCAATTCTCCCTCATCTCCCTTTTTTTCCTATTTTTAGGTGTGGTGTTGAGGGTTGTCAGTTAAAATCTTTAATTTTTTTCTATTACAATTTATTTACTGACAGTAAATTATGCGTGTCTCATCTCCTCATTCATTATAAACATTTATGTATCAGAATCAGAAATTATTCAGTGGTCGACTATTCCGTAATCATTATAAAGTTCCTAGAAGTGTTCTAAAAACTTTTTCAATTTATAATACTTCAGGTAAGTAGGAAACTTTGAAAGAATTTTCGCGATACAAAACTTTTGTATCTTTGTTTTATAATACTTTACTTGTCACTTAACTCGTCGAGTACCGGTTTTGTAGACACAATTATAGAACAATAGGTTGCGGTCACCGGTGACCGCTTGGTGTTTGACAGTTTAAGAGTGGAGGTGTCAAACTTCAGACCACACAGTTAATATTTCAAAGGAAGAAAAAAAAGAAAAGTTTCAACTTTCAATAAATACGTACCTACATTTTAAAATACAGGCAGTGAAAATAAAGATAATTTTAATAAGTCTGTTTCGAAATGTTTACACTGCGAAACCAAACAGAAACTTGGATAATTACAATTAACTATAACTTTTTTCCACATCTGCCGCACTGACAGGCTAGTTCATTCATAGCCGCCCTCCGCCCGCCCATCTCCTCGCCGCGGCGCGCTCTAAATAGTAACCGCCCAGTACGAGACGTGTCACGATGTTCGTAGAGCGTCTCGGTCACCACATTCACAAATCTCTCTCAGGAGCCGAGCGGTGCGCGCGTTTTATTATGCGGAGAGACAAAACAACATGTCTCTCCACCCGCACCTCCCCGACGCGTCTACGAATGGAGACAACGAATACGTTCACATACGATGTCTCATTGCGAATATACACAAACAGAAGAATGTGTCAAGGCCGCCCTCTACTACTCCATCGCTGGAGATGGTCTTGGAATCTCCGACATCCTCGGACACTGAACAGAGTGTCACGGAATCCGAAAGATCAGAAGCTGTGTTGGGTGATGAATTAATGCGAACACCGCCACCACGCGCTAAGAGCAACAGTATTGCGGGATCCATGCTGGCTCCGCCTAAGGTGCACAAACGTCGGAGACCGTCGTTCCTGCACCTGCAGGTGGGCCCGAACGAGCACGACGGGCCGCACTCAGCGAGCGCACACCTCAACGTGCCGCGGTTTACAGTGACGGCGCCTCCAGGGGAGCAGCAACGCCGGTTCAGCCATGGATTTGCCTTCCACGGTTTCGCACTACGAAGACATTCTAACACGGTCTGCCCCATGATGACAAGTAGAGTAACAAGTGTTGTGATAACTATTGTTTTGTTGCTAAATATGATTGTTTACGCAGTAATTGTGTAAAGTGCAACATTTTACGAAGTAATGCAACGTGTGAATGGTATGTGCGCTTTACTTTCTGGCAAGTTACATGCATGGCACTCTTTGTTAAATAAAAACAAAATCGTTCCATTACGTAGGTAATTTTATTATTGAGCTGTCATTTAATCGACGTTCATCCAATAGACATAAGAAGATAAATTAACATAAAATTAAATATTACTGCAGACATTAGTGAAAAGGTTTAAATTATGCCTGTTGTTTATCAAAATAACTAAATTGAGCAAACAACATATGTAATTACAATAATATACAATGAACTTTTCTAATTATCTAAAATTAGCATGATAAGAACCTGGTACATTAACTGTAATTAAATTAAAATACAAATCGATAAATATTATTACAAATTTAGGAAACAACTGCTTTAAGCTGTAACTAAAGATCAGGCAAAAATATCATAAATATCTAGAATCCACAGTATTAAATCCTTATAGGAAGTGATGTAGTGTAAGAATAATTAATCACACGTAATAAAACACATAATAAACGTTGAACACTGTTATCATTTCCATGAAACAACTACTTCTTCAGATTCTGCACAAGTTGTTGACAAACCTGGCTCGTGTAAGTACGTAGTTTATTTATTAGTTATTGTTATATTGGGCTACCTTGTGATATCACATGTTATCACTATATCTATAAAATTGTGTTCATTATAAGTCGCGAACTGTGCCGAGTAAACGTTTACTTGTTCTTGTGCGAACATCGCTCATTAATTACATACGGATATAATATAGATTTTAAGTTTAAAAAATTGAACTGTGTTCCTACCAAAACACCAATGTTGCGTTTTAGCAAATCACAACCAAGTGAGGTATTTTTTTACTTGTATTTAAGATACATAATAAAATGTTTTTTACGATTCTATTAATGTATTTTTTACTCATGTTTTTGAACCTGTCTGTTAGTGAGTAAATATTTTGGTCTCCCATCATCCGTTTGTGATACATTTGCCTGTGGTATGATGTACATCTTTTTGTCAATAATAATTAATCCAATTGTTTGTGTGTACAATAATAATCATCTGAATTGTTCCCGTTTATTGTAGACGTCTAACTTGACCTTATGATGCGACCGGTTCCTTTTACCCGTCACTTTCTTTAAGCTATTGAAAAAGATCTCAAATGTGAGAGTTTCAATCAAGTATTGTAAGTTCCGTATAAGTTCCTATTTATTATTATATGTATTTCTTAGACTTATCCCCATTCATTTTAACTTTGAATTTAATAGATAAGTTCTGCTTGCGTTTTTTATATCCATTAAGTATCTCTCATGTCATTATTGATCATAAATCAGGTTAAACTTTTTATCCTGAATATCATTTTTTACGATTGTAAAGGAAATAGTGATTAACAGCCAGCTGACGTAGAGCCCTATCGGCTAACGATCCAAAGTAATTATTATTAATAGAATTGATACTTATAATGTGTCAATTTGAAGTGTTCAACCATTTTTATAGTGAAATTTTCTTTTATCTTTGGGATCGATGTCGTTTCGTGGATAAAAAACGCTTTAAAAGATTCGTGACAAAATGATTATTAAAAGACAATCTTTAATTTTCACACTATCGTATCCTCATGTTTAAGTCTAAACAATTAAAAGAAATAAGTATATACAAGTATATAATGATTTTATTTTCGATGCGGTATTCTAAAAAAACCGTATTAGATCTGACAGTTAGACATGAGTTCAGTCTGTTCTTAATATAAAAGTGTTTGTAAGCATAGAGATGTGTTACTTATGGTCTATTGTTTTGTGTCCAGAGCCTGCACCGCAGCGAGTCGATGGTATCACTTGCTTGCTTCCGGACGCTCTCGCAGCTCGTCAACAGCGATAACCTGGCAGAATTGCAACAGTACATCTCCAATAACAAGAATGTTTGTATCGACGACAAAGATGAGGTAAGCTATACCTTCTCATATATAACTTTAATTCCTATAATTGTATGAAGACTTTGGGTGAGGTCTACGTCGCATGTCTGACATGATGGTGATAATGCCTGGAATATATCCAATGAATTGACAGGGCTCTGCCTAACCATTACAGAATAAAATACTTATACTCCCCTTGTTGAAGAGTTAGCAGGCGATTTAATTCAACTATTTTATTGAGGACTATAATTTGATACACGTATACTATCTGCCCTAACAATCATTCTAATTGTAGGAGTGACAGTTTTAGGACAATGAATGTGGCGAATGCACGACCACGGCTGTCGTTTGAGCTTAATTTAGACGAGTAGTAAATGCTTTGTACTTCGTAACTTTTATAAACCAAGGAACTTAGTTTATTAGTCCATGATTAAGATCGCAATTTTACTATACATAGGGCCGATTTTTTCAACAACGCCAGCTGAATTTAAAGTGAGGAATTACTTTGAATATTCAAAGTCAAAATCGTAAGTCAAATTTAAATTATATTCCACAGTTAAGAATTAACTGATGATTGTAAAATCTGCCCTTAGTTGGCTTTTCATTTTCGGCAAAATCAAATTGCAATTAAAATGACTAATATTTTTATAAGTTATAGATTTTTAGTATTTTGTAGTGAAACTATATGACTCGTATTTTACTCAGAATATTGAAAATCAATGCCGATTAATGTTGTGCAGACATTGAAATAAATTTTGTATGGTCTATATTCTAATGTTTACTCCCATTAGAGGCTTTCAATTCTCAAAAATATGTGTCTTGAATGTGAATTATACTTCTAATAAATCTTTTTTCTATTCTCTTAGAAATGGACATTCCTATATAATCTAAAAAAAAAAAATATCCCTGAGACTGGCATTTTTCAAGAGATACGCGTTCTGTTTTGAGGTCATGCAATTAGTGGGAAATGTACCAGCTCAGAATTTAATCTTATCTCTAAATTATGCGCAACTTGTTGAATCACTAGAGTAATAAATATTTTTAATAGATTCTTAGAATTTTACCTATTGATTACTGCAATGTTGGAATAAAAATAATTGCTTTAATTGGAATAAAGCTTATGGGGTTTTACAATAAACCGTACAATGGAAAAGATTATCCGTTACCGTAATAAGCAGTTTAAAAGACCGTTGCACTCAACTGACGCTTAAAATAACAAGTCATTAACTTTCATTGACTTGTATGAATTGAAGCCATTACAGACAAATATGACAATTACATAGGTACTACAATTTTGTTTACATGTACTAAAAATGATGGTAAATTATTTTTTTTATGTCTGTCTGGTATTCAATAACATCTGTACGAATGGCCGACAGTATCCTTTAACGACCAAACAAACTGTTGGCCTAACTGTGTTATTGATATTTAAACGTTAGTAGTTTCACTCTATATCTATGTTAAGTGTATATGAATGGAATGATATGTTTGAAGCTATTGACCTGACCTAATGACGAAGTAGTTTAGTGATTTACCTGATAGATAAGTGCTACAAAAGCTACACATAAGTTAAGTTTGATGCATTGCTAGATTCTGTCTTTTGGATTATTATAGTTCTGGAAAAATGGTACATATTTAGTATTTACTGTGCTATTTTTGTATTTAATAAAATCGACAACACATTACACAGTCTGATACGGTAGCTCCCATGGTAAAACATAGCTTAATTTAAGAGAAAATGATATCCAAACAAAATGATAAAATAATTTATTGGTTACAGAATGGCACAACGGCGCTCATGTGTGCGAGCGAGAATGGCCGAATCGCAGCGGTACGGATATTGCTGGGAGCAGGAGCGGATGTTACAGCCGCCGACGCGGACTCTTGGACAGCTCTGGCGTTTGCGGCCCGTGGAGGAAATCTTGCCACAGCTAAGGAACTATTAGATGCCGGAGCTATTGTCGATTCTAGGGACTGTGTGAGTAATTTAAACCATTCTAACTTAACTTTTACAAAAGATTATGTGGTTGAAATAGTGACTGCGACAATGGTATGACAATAGGATAGATTTGCAACTAAAATAGATTAAAACTTCACAATATTTCCAAAACAACCTGAATCCGTCAAACGTTAAACCAACATTTTTCCCTACGACCGTAGCATGAGACGATACCGCCGACAAAAATACTTCTCTGTGTTCTGAGTAATCGAGATGAAAGAAGTCTTACAAAATACTCGAGATCAGTAGAATTGATTGTGGAAATGAAATATGTGAAAATAAAAGCAATTTAGCTAACGTACTATCATCTGTGTTGTCTACGCGCAACAGATGTTTCTTATATTTTGCACAGTCTGCACTGTGACAACATGGCATAAGTTCAAAATGACTCATTTATGAACACAAAACATGGTGCAATTAGTCGGGGCTCTTTTCTTCTATGAAGGCTGGTTCTGACGTCATTCATCGTCATTTTTTGACAACTGTTTATATTGTGTCTGGAAGATTTTCATGTTTTCGTGATATCTGTTAAATTGAGTAAATATAGAAAGTAATGTTTAATGGACTGCTCTGTTGATTTTAGTAATATATTCATTAGATTGCTCCTCTAATTAATTACTTAAGGCGAAAAATCTAGCATATAGACCACCAGCATATTAACCGTAATATTATTCGTATACTGTGCACCTTTAACTGCACATGCACCAGTAACCCAAATAATTATAATAGAGCAATGACCAAAATGTATTCTGGACTGTGTACTCAAAATTAGTATATTTATACTTGACGTGGATCTCTGCCAAGATGTCACTGACATGCAAGCACATTCTAAAATCTGACTAAAATATAATACGCTCGTTCATCCAGAACCGATACTTCATAAACTATTAAAACTATGTCAGCCATGTCCAGCACATGAAGTGCATTTCCACTATTCTAATGTAAACAGAACGAATTAAATTGTCTCACAGTTTCTGTTGCCAATGTGAAATAAAAATAGTATCCATTTCGTACTAAAACAAAACACATATCTTGCATATTTTTCCCGAATCCCCCAAGGAGTAGACAGCTAGATAAACTAGGTGTATTATGCTAATAACGTTAGTTACGTCATTAGTTCTGCAAATTGGTGGTGTTACTACCAGGTAGTTTTGAAATAGAATAGTACATAATATTATGTTGTTTCCCTGATCTAGGAACTAAACCAATTCATTTAAACATACATGAACTACCCATGAGAATACACTGATGGACTATGAGTCTCTTCTACCTACATAACTTGTGAGGTGTTGCCATAATCTAACCCCCTAGCAGTTTTGGCCCTAGGTTGGTCAGAAGCCCTCTGGTCTCTTTCAAGGTGTAATCCCTTAGTTGACTATCTTATAACATCTCTGGTTAAAGTAAGGATGATGACATTAATTTGTGTTTAACTCTGTCGTCATTACCATACGACAAGAAAATTCGCGTCTAATAAATAGTATTAAATATTTATAATAATATTTTTTTTTTTAATTTATTCCCAGCAATATCCTAACAGACTTATCCAAATCGATATTGAGGCCTCTTATATCTAAATTACAAACTAAATTTTTAACTAACCATAACAAAAGCTACGAAGTAATAAAATTGTTTCTCTGTTTTATAATAATTTCTATTAATCTACGTAACAGAAATGTTTTGTTTACACTATAACTGAGACGGCAGTTTAATAAAAATGTTTTAAAGTGACAGTACAAATAGTTTATGTTAGTATTTTACGTGAACATTTTTAGTTAGAGGCCAAACGTACAAATGAGGTCAAGATCCACGTAATTGGGGAACATGTGTGGCTTCAGACTGTTATCGGTGGTCATTGGAATAATAAAATGGAATAATAAATTATTAGAATAAATAAACAACTCCTTCCTCACTCTGAAAGCTGGAAAGTGTGATTATGGGGTATTATTATTATTATTATCTAGGTAGATCATCTTAGTCAGACCAGTAGTTTTTAAGTTGTTGAGTGACAAACACCCAAATTTACTTAAAATACTGCGAAAACTTTGATCTAGCGGTTAAAAATTGTATTATGAACCTTATTGAAAAAGAGTTACCTATGGAGTTTCTTGCCCGTTCTTCTCCATAGGAATCTACACCTTGGAATGAGCAAATAGCTTCACTTTTAATTTTATATTGACGTTCAAAAGTGCCTTCCTGATTGAAATAAATGATTTAAACTTTAACTTTAAAAAAAAAAGTAGAAAACAAAAGATTTAAGTAGGAAACACGGGTGTACTTTTTATAAATCTACCTTTCACATATAAATAGAAATATTTTTGTTATTTTATGTCTTTAGATAAAATTGTTTGACTTTGTCATGACATGATTTGTAACAAAAAATGCTGTGACTCATGTTTCATTTGCACAAAATTAATAGAATCAGTTCCCAAGTAATCTACCTCTATGGATAACATTAATGTTATCGAACAAGTTTAGACCACTTGTATTTATAATAAGGAAGAAATTACATTACGTCAAGTGGACTGCATGCCACTATATTAACATACATGTATCTATTAAATATGTATATGTGAAGTTTGTACAATGTAGCAGAAACTAAATTATCATGAATAATTAAATTATGAAGATTTTGTATTACACCATTTTGGGCTTCTAGTCAACGTTGAGTTTCTAGTCAAATAATATGTTTTTGGTTTCTTCATGTTACAGTACCTACCTACGTAATAAAATTGAATTATTAACTTTTTATCATAATACCTAAATTTAAATATATTATCATGTTGTTATTGCATTAAATATCTAAGTTATTCCTTTGAAGAACTGCTTACTTATTGAACTACTTTTTTTCTTTCGCAGGGCGGTTGGACACCGTTACTGTGGGCGTCATACAAAGGGCACGAAGAGATCGTAGCATTACTGCTGGAGAAAGGAGCTGATGTTCATGCACATGGCAATTATAATATCAAGTATGTTGCATTCTAAATTTTATCAAACATCTAACAAAAGATTTCATACTTCATTACTATATTACTACTATTCTTCAATCCTCTCAGTGTTTTAGTGCTTCTCTATACATATAACAATTCTCAGGAAGAGTTAGAGTCTTTGACTGAAGATATGGTTTAAGTTTTTCTAACAGTATATTATTTAACATATTGTGTGGTTGATAGAGTACAGAACAAGACTGGAACTATTATATTTAACATCATCATCGTCATCATACAAATACCTATTTGCGGTTACTTCTACATTCAATTCTAACTAAGTTATTGTGCGGTTTTCCCTACAATAAAATATAGGTACCATTTTACCGCCTTTTAAATAAGAAATGTTATTACTTAATATGAAAAACTTAT